CCGCCCCGCTGCCGCACTGCTCGCCGCCGTCTGCCTTCACCGGCGCCGCGTGCCACCGACGCCCTACGCCGCCACCGCGCCCGGCCGCGGCCTTCTCCGCCTCCCCGCGCCGGAATCCGGCCGGATCCGGCGAGATCCGGCCCGGATCCAACATCTCCGGTGAGTTCCACCTCTTTCCCCGCCATCTCCGGCGAGTCCCGCGCCGACGAACCTCGGTTTCCGCGCCCGTTGACTTTTACCTCGAGGTTGATTTTTCCACTAAGTCCCCAGTTTGCAATATTTTTAGGCATGTTCACCTTACCATATCTCATTACCCGTAGCTCTATTTTGGGCGTGTAACATATCAAATTGTTCGTCTCGAGGTCCTCTTCATTTCATTTCATTGCACCATGTTCATTTGAGTTCATATTGATGCCCTAAATGCTGTTGCAAGAGTGCTATGTAATGTTAGTTTCTGTTTCTTAACAGATTTTGGACATTTGTCATTTTTTCCATGATTAATGTGTGCCTACTATGAACTTCAGCCCTACATGTGTTTTGGGCTATGACATGCCATCTTTACAGGGGTGTATGCCATGTATTTTTGTGATCTTTGTGGTGACTAGCACAAGCATGCAAAGTAGCTCTCGTGATGTTGCTGATTTCAGGGACTTAGAATTCTTCTAAGCCATTTCCCTGATGATATTTTTATGCCTTGTATTCTTGTTGCTACAGAGTGATCCATGCCTCTTTTGAGCATGTTCAGTAAGGATAATTTTGAGATATTGTTATGTTCTATCCATCCATGTCTTTGTTTGCAATTATGGAGTACCCTAGCATGACTCAATCTTGCTCTACTTTTGCTATAAAATGTTCCTGGCAGATTGTTTACGTGTTAATCAATTTTGCCGGGGTTGTTGTAGTTTATTCTTGCTTGCTATGAGTTGGTTCTTGCCATGGTTAGCTTATTGATCATGTCTTCTTTCTGGGTGTATGCTTAGTTTGTCATGCAATGCCTTGTGGTGAGTGCATCGAGCTCGCAAACATGCCTACGTAACTCTGTTTTTGCCATGTCCAGTTTTTCTGCTAAGTCTGAATCTGTTAACGAAAGTTGCTATGTTCACATGGGTGCCATTGTATTTTCTGATCCCTTTTGGCTTATGGTCAGTAAGGGACTTTTGTTATATGCTTTAATTAGTTTCATTCCATGCCTTGCTTTGCCATGATATGTTCCTGTAGCATGTTGTTATCTTACTCTAAACATTGCTTCCTGATATAAAATCCTGACATGTTGCTATTTTCACTAAGTCTGTGAACCTGTTATCTTTTGCACTTTTTCCATGCTTGTTTGAACCTGCTATGGTGTGAATTAGCCGTAGCTCAGTGTTCATCTTTTGTCAAGCATCTTGAGTGGATCACTGCCATGTGCTTTGTTGCTATGTTAGAGTGCAGTAGCTTATTTTCTTGATGCATTCTAGATGACATCGTGCTGTTAATCGCAAAATAGTGCCATTATTGTTTTGCTTGCCATTTGCAAACCGTGCATCCGATTCCGGTGATCTTTATATCGATTTCGACTGAAATTCACTTATCTTTCCAGTGACGCTCTTGGTTTGCCAAGTTGAGTCCTGGTTCAATCTTTTCCTTCCAAAGCACGCATATGCATTGCATATCACATCCCGCATATCATGCCATGTTTTGCATCATGTTGCTTGCGCATTGCACCATGGTTGATCGTGGTTCCCTTTGCTTGTGTTATTGCTTTGGGTAGAGCCGGGAGACGAGTACGTGATCGAGGAACCCGTTGAGAATGCTTACGAGGATCAAGCTTACGTCAACCCGGAGAACTTTGCAGGCAAGATGACCATACCCTTGAAATCACTTCTATCTTTGCTTGCTAGTTGCTCGCTCTATTGCTATGCCTATGCCTCGATACCTACCACATGCTTTATCATGCCTCCCATATTGCCATGTCAAACCTCTAACCCACCTTGTCCTAGCAAATCGTTGTTTGGCTATGTTACCGCTTTGCTTAGCCCCTCTTATAGCGTTGCTAGTTGCATGTGAAGATTGGAGTTTGTTCCTTGTTGGAACATGTTTATTGTTGGGATATCACTACTATATCTTGTTTACTTTAATGCATCTATATACTTGGTAAAGGGTGGAAGGCTCGGCCTTATGCCTAGTGTTTTGTTCCACTCTTGCTGCCCTAGTTTCCGTCATACCGGTGTTATGTTCCTTGATTTTGCGTTCCTTACACGGTTGGGTTATAATGGGAACCCCTTGACAGTTCGCCTTGAATAAAACTCCTCCAGCAAGGCCCAACCTTGGTTTTACCATTTGCCACCTAGCCTTTTTCCCTTGGGTTCCGCGGACTCAAGGGTCATCTTTATTTTAACCCCCCGGGCCAGTGCTCCTCTGAGTGTTGGTCCAAACTGAGCTGCCTGTGGGGCCACCTCAGGGAAACTTGAGGGTTGGTTTTACTCGTAGCTAGTCTCATCCGGTGTTGCCCTGAGAACGAGATACGTGCGACTCCTATCGGGATTTGTCGGCACATCGGGTGGCTTTGCTGGTTTAGTTTTACCATTGTCGAGATGTCTTGTAACCGGGATTCCGAGTCTGATCGGGCCGTCCTGGGAGAAGGAATATCCTTCGTTGACCGTGAGAGCTTGTGATGGGCTAAGTTGGGACACCCCTGTAGGGATTTGAACTTTCGAAAGCCGTGCCCATGGTTATGGGCAGATGGGAATTTGTTAATCTCCGGTTGTAGAAAATTTGAAACTTAACTTAATTAAAATGGATCAACAGCGTGTGTAGCCGTCATGGTCTCTTTTCGGCGGAGTCCGGGAAGAGAACACGGTCTCGTGTTATGCTTGAACGTAAGTAGTCTAGGATCACTTCTTGATCATAGATTCTCGAACGTGCTTTGTCTTCTCTTCTCGCTCTCTTTTGCGCATGTTAGCCACCATATATGCTAGTGCTTGCTGCAGCTCCACCTCACATACCCTTTGCCTACCCATAAGCTTAAATAGTCTTGATTGCGAGGGTGTGAGATTGCTGAGTCCCCGTGACTCACAGATTACTTCAAAAACTAGATGCAGGTGCCGATGATACCATTCCAGGAGATGCGACTGAACTCAAGTGAGAGTTCGATGAGGACTCAGGATGATACTACGTTTCCTTTCTAGACGATCAGTAGTGGAGCCCAGTTGGGGTGATCGGGGATCTTATGCATTTGGGGTTGTCTTTATTTTGGTTCCGTAGTCAGATCTTGATTGTATCTGGATGATTGTAATGCTATATTTATGTATTGTGTGAAGTGGCGATTGTAAGCCAACTCTGTACGGACGCGGAGTAATTGATCCCGAGCACACAGGCTCTCGGAATCTGTCCCGCTCGATCCGGTGTTATGATTCGGGAGAAGAGAAACACGTGACGGTGGCCGGGCCCAGATGGGGACGTGGAAGTGATAAAGAAAATGAGTTAATTTCCTGGACGGTGGGGCAGCACGCGATTTTCTACCAAGGCCCTTGCGGGTTAGCGTCAGAGCCGTGGCTCGACTCGTCGGCAAACTCCTGATCCGTGCATCAGTCACCGCTAACGACGTCAATGAGATGGAGTAAATGAAGGAGAGGGGTTGGTGGTAGGTGGATATGGCTGGGTCATTCCTCTCGCACTTGTTGGTCGGCTTCTACCAAGGTCCATAGGCGGCAACAGCGGCGACTGTGCTAGGGTTCCTGAATCTCCACTCCGACGCCGATGGAGTTCTTGATGCAGCCGTTCAACAGGTGCGTAATGTGTTCATGTGTGCTCTTTGTTCTCTGCGTCTGTCGGATTTGGGATGGTAAATCATGGGATCTAAATCTCTCGACCTTGCTGTGGGGCCGTGTGCAGTAGAACCTTGATTGAAGAGGTGACTGACAGTGAGTTGCCAATGGAGCCGGTGCACGACCCTGTGCAGTCACCGCCAGGCGGACAAGTGGGAGGTGCGAGCACTTCAATTGGCGGTGGGCAGATCTGTCCCCCATCGGTGGAAGGACAAGCAAGGAGTGGAGATAAGGCAGATGCTTCAGAAAACTCCGTGGAGCAGATTGATCCAAAAACGCCTGCTTGGACACGAAGGTATAAAGTATAAACAATGGAATCATTGAATTTTTTAGTAGCAGCTTGAACAGTCTAGTTCGCAGTTAATCTCTAGCCCTGCAAAGATTAAAATGAGCAGCTGATATGCGCTTTACATTACTGAAATATGATGAAGTACATACTGAATTATAGACAGCAGACTGACGAAATATACTTATCTGGTGTACACTACTGAAGACTACATATGATACTGAATTTTAAGACAGTACACTCATCTTAAAATGCAGTTTTGAACAGTCTAGTTCACGGTTAGTCTCTAGCCCTGTAGAAATTAAAATGAGCAAGGAAATAGATATCCGCTTGACATTATTGGAGTATGATGATGTAGAATACTAAATTTTAGAGAGCAGACCGATGAAAAATAGATATGTGGTTGACATTACTGACGGCTGATGAAGTATGTTACTGAATTTTAGACAGTAGACTGACGAAATATGGACTGCTGGAATATGCGTTCGAATATGCAGGGTGTAACCTAATACGGGTTGGTTAGTAGCTGCAAGTAATTCCGATGCTATAGTACTAGTAGCGAGACAATCAGATTGCGGGATGATGTATTATGTTTTGTTTCATTTCAGGGTCAAGATAGGTGCTGCAGCACCAGCCACCAGGGCGTGCCCCATGCCCAGATAGGATGACTGCATTAGAGAAATCAGTCCGTTTTTTTGCTGAGGCGCCTAGGGAGAACATTGTACCGAAATTAGGGCACAGTTTCGATACGCTCGACGAGGCCTATGATTTCTACAATCTGTACTCCTGGGAGAAAGGCTTCGGGATTAGATATGGAAAGAGCAGGCTAAATGTTAACCGGACAAAATGCATGCAGGAGATCGTGTGTGGTTGCGCGATATGTATCCGTTCAGATGAGACTTTCCAATTTATGCAATTCTGTCTTGGTGTTATCTGACTCTTGGTGCCATGAACTGATTGCAGGGTAAACCAATAGTGGAGAATACTCGGTCATGCCGCTGCGAATGTCCTGCCCTTATCAGATTGCTGCGGTCGAAAGACAATGGGTGGTACATAGCGGAGCACAGATATCATCACAATCATGCCTTGTCCAACACCTATGGGTAGACGTGGCACTAGCCATCACATAAGCACATCGACGTGTACAACAGGGATCTGGTGAAGCAGCTGTGAGAGAACAATGTGAATCTATCCAAAGTGTACAACATTATTGGTAGTTTCTTTGGGCGGATGGAGAATGTACCATTCACAAAGAGAGCACTCATGAACTTGTGTGGCAAAATCAGTCGTGACCAGGCAGAGGATGACGTTAGGAAGACAATGGAGGTGTTTCAGGAAATTGGTGCTCAGGATCAGCAGTTCACATACAGGGTACATGCTGACAAGGAGGGGAGGATAAGTAGCCTGATGTCGGCGAACGGAAACAACAGAATTCAGTATACCTTCTTTGGGGATGTAGTTACTTTCGACACCACTTACTGAACTAATCTGTATGATATGCCATTTGAGTTCACAAAATCGGCTGATTGATTTCTGGTGGAGCTGAGGATCTGGGTGGGAGCTCGGCTGGATGGAGAAGGTTATCAAGAGGGAAAAGCGTAGGCAAGAAGCCAGGTAGCTGCAACGACTGGATACGTTTAATGAGGTGGATGGTGGCGTTAGTCCAGAATCTCGCTGGAACCGGCTCAACCCGTGAACGTCTTCCTGGTCCGTGCCTGGGATGGCTAACGGCGTGACCATAATTCACCCCGACTTGTGGGCCACGGGCCATAATAAAAATACAGAATCTCAAAAAGTGGTTAGACCCACACTGCCATGCTCTGCGCATCGCGATAAAGACGTGCGGTACAGATACCGTGATCCTGTGCGCCCGTGCTCACATTAGCACTTTCGAACTCTGTACCTCTTTCTTATTCAGTATATGGGATGTGCAAAGATTACCCCTCTTGCGACATTGCCTACAATGCGGTTATGCCTCTAAGTCGTGCTCCGACACGTGGGAGATATAACCGCATCGTGGGTGTTACACAAGTTCATCCCAATGGCTTATATCTCTACTATTAAAGGAGAATCGAACGTCATGATGGTTCGACCCCCTCCCCCTCGCTATCGATACCCCACGCACACACCCACGTCTTTCCGCTCCCTCATCCCTCCCACTGCTTTTTTCAATTACCCTCGGAAAACCAGCAGCAACTAAACAAGGAACCGACCGGTTCACTTTGACCTCCTCTCGTAGACTCATACATCGATCCTGCATGCAACTCACGAATTAGCTGGAGCACCAGAAAAACCGCATGTTACCCACGTCCTTCCCCGACCTGGAAGATTATCCCATGTCCCTCACACATCACGAAAGAAAAACAGCCCAAAAGCTCCTCGCGATGGCCCCGTGGCCTCGTCCTGATGCTGCTCTGCATCGACGACACCACACCACGATTCCCACCGACGTCTCACCAGCCGTGCCCTCCTGGCCTCCCCAGCCTCCTCCCCACGCAGTGATACGCCTCCAACGTATCTATAATTTTTGATTGTTCCATGCTATTATATTATCAACCTTGGATGTTTTATATGTATCTATATGCTATTTTATATGACTTTTGGGACTAACCTATTAACCCAGAGCCCAGTGCCAGTTTCTGTTTTTTCCTTGTTTAGAGTATCACAGAAAACGAAAACCAAACGGAGTCCAATTGACCTAAAATTTCACGGAGATCATTTTTGGACCAGAAGAAGCCTACGGAGTACCGGAGATGGGCCAGAAGAGTCCCGAGGCCACAATGAGGGTGGGGGGCATGCCCTACCCCCCTGGGCGCGCCCCTACCTCGTGGTCGCCTCGGGGACCCCCCTGACTTGTTCCCGACTCCAACACCTCTTATATAACCCAAAACTTTCAGAAAGAAACCTAGATCGGGAGTTCTGCCGCCGCAAGCCTCTGTAGGCACCGAAAACCAATCTAGACCCGTTCCGGCACTCCGCCGGAGGGGGGAATCCCTCTCTGGTGGCCATCTTCATCATCCCGGCGCTCTCCATGACGAGGAGGGAGTAGTTCTCCCTCGGGGCTGAGGGTATGTACCAGTAGCTATGTGTTTGATCTCTCTCTCTATCTCTCTCGTGTTCTTGATTTGGCACGATCTTGATGTATCGCGAGCTTTGCTATTATAGTTGGATCTTATGATGTTTCCCCCCCTCTACTCTCTTGTGATGAATTGAGTTTTCCCTTTGAAGTTATCTTATCGGATTGAGTCTTTAAGGATTTGAGAACACTTGATGTATGTCTTGCATGTGCTTATCTATGGTGATAACGGGATATCACGTGATCCACTTGATGTATGTTTTGGTGATCAACTTGCGAGTTCCATGACCTCGTGAACTTATGCATCGCAGTTGGCACACGTTTTCGTCTTGACTCTCCGGTAGAAACTTTGGGGAACTCTTTGAAGTTCTTTGTGTTGTTTGAATAGATGAATCTGAGATTGTGTGATGCATATCGTATAATCATACCCACGGATACTTGAGGTGACATTGGAGTATCTAGGTGACATTAAGGTTTTGGTTGATTTGTGTCTTAAGGTGTTATTCTAGTACGAACTCTAGGATAGATTGAACGGAAAGAATAGCTTCGTGTTATTTTACTATGGACTCTTGAATAGATCGATCAGAAAGAATAACTTTGAGGTGGTTTCGTACCTACAATAATCTCTTCCTTTGTTCTCCTCTATTAGTGACTTTGGAGTGATTCATTGTTGCATGTTGAGGGATAATTATATGATCCAACTATGTTATTATTCTTGAGAGAACTTGCACTAGTGAAAGTATGAACCCTAGGCCTGTTTCAAAGCATTGCAATACCGTTTGTGCTCACTTTTACCACTTGCTACCTTGCTGTTTTTATATTTTCAGATTACAAAAACTATTATCTACTATCCATATTGCACTTGTATCACCATCTCTTCGCTGAACTAGTGCACCTATACAATTTACCATTGTATTGGGTGTGTTGGGAACACAAGAGACTCTTTGTTATTTGGTTGCAGGGTTGCTTGAGAGAGACCATCTTCATCCTACGCCTCCCACGGATTGATAAACCTTAGGTCATCCACTTGAGGGAAATTTGCTACTGTCCTACAAACCTCTGCACTTGGAGGCCCAACAACGTCTACAAGAAGAAGGTTGTGTAGTAGACATCACGTCGTCCTACGCACCATGACTTCTCCGTGCTCCCAAATCCGGGCACCCCCCGGCAATTCCACTGCCTCCGCTGGTGAACCGTAGGAAGGAGGAGCCGGCGGCAGGGAAGGGAACGACCACCGTGGACTACACGTCGGAAGACAAGCACGGAGGACTACCGCCACATCGGGTACCACCCCGTCCGCGTTGGTTAATCGTTCAACTAGGTCACCTACGTCGTGCAGTCCATGCTCGGCTCAGGGCCTCTCTCTCCATCATCTGCCTCGTCTAGGAGACCGCCCACTTTGTACGTGCTAACCCCTTGCCTCGAATTCTCCTGTTAAGTCGTCCTATTTGTTCTATGATGATTCATGGTGATATGTAGGAAAATAGCAATCTGGATGTAGCAGTTTTCCTGCCCAACAAATGCTTGTTCTTTTGCTTTAGAGCATAAGAAGAAAAAGGTAATTTCATCTGTAATTACTGTTCGATCCGTCAATCCTATCATCGTGCATGAGATTTTCTATTTTACCACTATTGCAGAGAGGTTTAGCTGCCTTTGTCCGGTGTTTCTGAATATGTTGGTTGGATACGTGCAGAGGTATGTGCTCTTGAAGGTGGGGAAGATCCAAGACAAAGAAAAAAAGGGAGGGCCCGTCAGGCAACATGCAACATGGAGATTAACCAACCATGTCGAATCCGCTAAACGCCGAACTAACCATGGCCATGTCCCTGAGGTGCACCCTGATGCGCCTTGATAACCGCTGGCCACTGCCAAAACCACATCCACCCAGCTGTATGGGTGCGTGAGCTTTGCCCGGTGATGCTCTTCTACGAAGGTAAAGGGGGAGAGGGGGGGGGGGTAGTGGTAACATGGTCTGGGCGTTGGAGGTTCTGCCCAGGCTGTTCATGGAGGAGCAGTACATGGCTGGCATCCTCAATGGGATCCATGTGTGCATGGTTTTTCAGTTTCTTGGTGATAACTTGCTGACAATGATGAAGTACACCGAGTCAGCGACTATCGTGGGATTTCGCTTCCAATGGTTAAGAAGATATGCTTGCATGTGCTCATTGACCAATAATATTTCCATTATCCACACTGACCTCAAGCTTATATTGCTCGTGCCCATTATTGACCCCTCAAAGGATCCCCTGAGGTCAGGTGTACCACTGGTTCTACTTGCTGCAAAGATGAAAGAGTCACCCGAAATCACTTGAACCATCAGTGAGTAGTTGCCTCACCAAGTTTTTCGGTGAATAGTCGGCCTCGGTGTAGTTTCTTCAATCAGATTGCCTCATATTTCTTTGTATTTATGCCAGGGAAAATGCCAAACCAGTGTGCTACCTTTTGGATACCATGTTTTGGGTAGGTCTCCTACACATTTCATTTCGTTAGCAACAGTTCTGTGTGTCGCTTGCAGGATATTATTCACCTGTTAGCAACTATGCTTTAGTATACCTCAGGCGTCCAAAAGAATGATTTAATTGATTAT